GCTTTCTTATTTTGTTCTTGGTGTTTCTGTTCTTTTTGGTCCATCACTGTTTCTTTCCTTCGTTCTTTCTGTCTCGGTGTTTCTGCGGAGACCGCAGGTCCCCAGGCAGGCTCTGCTGAGCGAAGGAAAGACGAAAGATGCCCTCACTTCTGCGCACACAGTCAAACTGGAGAAGGAGGTGCGAAAGAGCAAAAAAAAAAGGAGAATATCAATAAATAGAAGAGAAGAAGGCGGGGAAAGGGAAGGAAAAAAACACACACAAAAATGGTGTGAGGCCTGTTCAGGTGGAGAAGGGTTTGTTGCCGCTTCTGGTTCCAACGCTGGAGAAACTGGTATTGCATTGACAGAACTTTCCTTTCTTGCTAACCCGTCATCCTCGCTCGTGCTCACTGAGACGGAGGGCTGGGGAGAGGGACGTTTGTGGGTTGCCCCCTGAAGAAGGTTGCCCAGCTAAGCCTACTGCTCCCCTCAACTGCTTGACTGTTTGTTTCTTTGTTTATCCAGCGATGCTACTTCCTTTTATTTCCTTTTTTGTTTCGTTTTTTATTGCTTTGCGTGTTCGTTGGTTCCTACTCAGTGTTTACAGGGGGCGGGGCGGGGCGGGGGGTCGGCGTGAATGAAGATGGCGGAAGTGGCCGTGGCGGTGCCCGCGGGTAGGTACAACGACACTGCCGCGGCTCTAGGCTGCATTGCAAGGTCCAGGCGGTGCGGCGTCACCTGCTTCTGGAGCCCGGATGCCGCCATGTACTACGTTCCAACCCTCCTGACGCTGGCGATTGTCTTTGGCGTGGTGTTTACACTTTGGAATGAATTGGGCGTTTTTGAGCTCTGCGTCGTGCTCGCACTCCTCTCCACCGCCTTCGTCTCCTCCTTCTTGGTGACCTGCACCGACCCGGGCGTGTACCCGCGGCTTCGTCGTGGTGAACCGGACCCGCTTCACGGCGCCCAGGAATTGGTGCTTTGTCGCGTGTGCGGGCTGCGGCGTCCCCCACGCACCGCGCACTGCTACCAGTGCAACGTCTGCGTGGAGGAGCACGACCACCACTGCGGCATTATCGGCGGATGCGTCGGTCGGAGGAGCCTCCGCTGGTTTGTGCTGTATCTTGTCACGGTGAGTAGTGCGTCGGCTATAGGCGTCTTTTGGATCTTTCGCTCGTTGGTCAACGGGGGCTTTGCCACGGCACAGCGACGACGGGACGCCAGAAATGACGCTTGGAATCGTGTCGGGCATTCCTTGGCCGCACGGGGCACGGGCGAGGACGGCGCCGTGGTCGCCGTCTTGTTGGTGATGCTGTTCCTCGTGCTACTCCTCGTCCTGCTCTTTGTTGGGGGCCTGGCCCTCTTCCAAGTGTGCCTGCTGCTGACCTCGACCACGCGGCGCGAGTCGCAGCGCATGGAGTCCAAGTTAGCCGCTCTCTTGCGACCCAAATTGATGTGGGAGAACTTGATGCGGGTGGCGTATCCGCCGCCGTCGAAGCTATTTGCCCCCACGCCTCCTCAAGACTCCGTCGTCTGAGAGTGTCCTCCCGCCTCTGCTCTGCATTTGTGGCGGTGCCAGTTGCATCCACGAATCTACGTGCGCAGATACACATTACATACGCACATACCTGCTGCAGCTGACACCTGAACTCAGGCGACCGGGAGAACGTAAAGAGGGATTCTTCTTGTTCCCGCGTCCTCTCTTCCCAATGTGGCGTTAGCAAGGAGCGCATGCGTGGACTCCATGAACTCTGGAAAGCAGGCGCACCCATAACGCCTTCCTTCTCCCCCAGGGCTCCGTCTGCAATACCATCACACGGCGCCAGGCGTAGAATGGGGGAGCACCAGCACCGACGCCAAGCGGCGCTGAAAATACGATGACGTTGGGGGGTGTGGCTGACGAGGAGACTAAGCCACTAAGAAGCGCAAAAAAGAGTCATTGTTTGCTTGTCTGCGCATCACTGAGAATTTGCGTCTTTGCTGCGTCACACGGATTTTCCTTTCTTACATTCCCTATGTATGTGTGTGTGTGTGTCTCTCTCTCTGTGTGTGTGTGTGTGTGTGTATTGTTCTCACGCCTTTCCCCGACCTTTGCCTTCTTTTTTTTTTCTCGTCTATCCTCGCATCCTCGGCATGTTCTCCGCGTGGTTGTGCAATCACAAGAGAAAAAGAAATGGCTCTGCCTGAAGGTTGAGAGAGAGGTGTTGGGGGAGGCTGAGTGGGTTGCGGCGGAGGGCGCCTGCAGTGGCGTGCATCATCTTGCCTTTGTTGTTGTCGAGACGACGCTCCGTCTCTCCCTCGCTGTGACCCGCACGCGTACAACTGACGCTTTGGCTTGTGCTCTGCTGCGTGCATCGGTGCCACTCACATGTGGAGCTGAGAGAAGCGAAAGGAATCGACGTAGACAGGCAGACACACACACACGCACACACACATAGAGAGAGAGAGAGAGAGCCACACTGAGACCTGAAGGAGGCCGCCGCGGTAAAACCGGCCACTTCCATGCGAAATGAGTTTGAGGCGGAGACGCCATCGGGGGCCATGAGCCGCAGCAATTTTGCCGGCGGGGCTTTTACCGTGGTGGCCAGTGACATGGACGGCACGATCCTCGACCACAACGACCGCCTCACGGAGCGGACAAAGGACACACTGTATGAGCTCTCCGCATGTGGGGTCCACGTCATCTTCGCGACAGGCCGTAACCACCTTACCGTTGATAGCACAAGACGTGAACTGCTGCAGCACTACAAGAAGAGGCACGCGGTCAGTGGTGCCTGCAGTTCGCTGTCTCTCGGTTGCGATGGCATTTATGTTGTTTCCTCCGATGGCGCAAGAGTGCAAAACCCGAAGGGAGAGTTGATTTACTCAAAGAATTTGGATAGCGATATCGTCAGGGTTCTCTACGACCGCTTTGCACTTCGCGACCACGGCGACGATCCCCAGCGGGCCGTGTCCGTGATGGTGCACCAGACCGGAAAGTTTTCCTTGTACCGTCCCTTCATGAGCGACGAGCAGCTTGTGGCGAAGTATGGTGTGTTGCCCGAGCTGCACTCATCTCTTTCCGGGAGCCTTCCCACCGACGCCGTTGCCAAATTGACCTTTCGCTGCATCGACCCAGAGACACTGCGCTGCTACGAAAAAGAAATCAATGAGTTGTTCCGTGGACGCGCGGCGGCCGTGATGGCGTCCAATACGTGTTTGGGGGTTCTTAGCGCAGGGGTGTCGAAGGCGGCGGCGATCCGGCAGCTCGGCGAGATACTCAACTTTGACCCCGCGCGGGACGTCATTGCCTTCGGTGACAGCATGAACGACATGGAGATGCTCGTCGCTGCGGCAAAGGGGTGCGTCATGGGCAACGCGCAGCAACGGCTCAAGGACGCGCTGCCCACGATGGAGGTGGTGGGCGCCAACTCCGAAGATGGCGTCGCCCGGAAGCTGGAGGAGGTTTTTTCGCTCCCCGCACGGCTGCCGCCTCACGGCCGATGATGCGAGCAGCGCGGGAAGCACGCGGCCGAGAGGCACGGCACTCGGTGAAGAAAGTGTCATAACTTCCGGCAGCGCCCAACTCACTCTCTTGCGCTCCCCTTCCGTCACCCCGCACCGCCGGCGTTCCTTCACTTCTGCGTGTTTACTAGAAGAATTGTTGCGCGTAGCGCACGCTTCTTAAGCGGCGCCCCCGCCATTACGCCTTCTGTTCCCAATTCGGTGCAGCACGGAGCTTGCGCACGAGCTAGTGGAAGAGAACAGTCCAACACGGAAGAATGGCATAACGACACTTACAGCACGGCCTTTTGGAAAGCGGCAATGATGAATCTTGACACCACGCGTTACACAGCTTTGACTCCTCCATAACCGCTAAACCAAATGAACAAAAGTGACTATAACGCTCAGTGCAACTCCATTTCATACTTCTCATTTTCATTGTCGAAAGACATAGGAAATGGGATGAGCTCTGTTTCCACACACCTGCCCTCGCCTCTGTCCTTTGCGACCATCACAGCAGATTTCTCAACCACAAACATACAATAACTTTCCCCAAGGTAGCGGTGCTGTCGGCCGGCAAAAATACAGGCGCCGTGTTTGCAACCGATCACCTCGCCTGCACCTGTGCTGCCCTAGACCGCGCTGCCGCCTGGCTGGGGCGGGGCGTGTGTGTTGTGCGTGTGCGAAGCGTGCTCCGTGGGTGAGGCGGCGGCCGTATATCACGTTCTCTGTGCCGTGACAGTCTCAATCGGGCCCGCGAGAGCAGTGCCGACGGCGGCAGCGCGAGCCACTGAAGCCATCCTGATGCAATCAATCGAGGCATTTGTATGAATGTGCCGATGACTTACACCTCCGTGCACCAAGCTACCTACCACAGGCACGGGACTGACGTCTGCCCTTCCCACCGCCCTCGCCCTCCCTTTCCACCTCACGTTTTGCTTGGGAGGGGGGCGGGGGGGCTGGTGCTTGTTGTTCTCCCCCGCAGTGCCTGCTTGTCGTTTCCCTTGTTGGGCTGGTGGTGTTGCGGGGGAGACGCCGCGCCGT